TGCCTTGTCACACAGGGATTTACAGAAGCTGTTTTACTTCATCACGCCGATGCAATGAGTCAAACAGAGCGGGTGTTCCTATTCCCCAAGTGACAAATGGGCAAAACAAGAAACAGAATTCAAGTGCTTCAATCCAGGGTTAGCAAATGGATGGTTACGGTTACCCGCAGAGATTGTACCCCAACACAGCACTCCAGAGCTCGTCCCATTTTACCTTTCACTCATTCTTGCTGCCAAGAGAAACAGAACACTGAACAATCATGGCATTTACTAAAGACAAATCCCTTGACCAATTTTGCAATGCTTAGGACACCTTGAGCATTTTGTGATTTCCAGAATAGTATCAGAGGAGAAAAGGTCTGATCTGCTGTCACAACGCTGGATTTTAATTTAGATACTGTCATTCTCACTTCTTCCTCCCATTTACCTTTCCAGCCCAAATTTCCGTGCTCCAGCATTCCATTCAATTCAGCTTAACTCAGCAAGTGTTCACTGAGGCTCTGTCATGCTCAGACACCACCAGCTCATACAGTCTGGTCTATGACTGGTCCAGAAAGGGGTATCCCCCAAATCATGGATAGGAATGTCTAGGAATCCCCTTCCACATGCCTAGCTCTGTGCTGGTCATAGCAGAGGACTGAAAGGCAAATCCTTTGGTAGAATCTTTTTTTGCAGGAGAGCCAACGTGGTCACTGATTCCTGACATGTAGGGTAGAAAATGAAGAGTGGTGAAGTGGACCATGCAAGGATGGATGAAGAGGGTTGGACTGGGCCAAGGGATTGGCCGGGAAACTCTTGTGGTAATAGCTGATGTGGGCTGGCCTGATAGGGGCTTCAGAACTGAGAAAAGAAGAGCAGTCCTGAGAGCACCACAGGCAGAGGGCCGTGGTCAGTGGTGACACCCAGCTGCCGCTGGCATCTGCACAGTGGTCCCCAGCAGGAAGACATCACTTCTGACAGAAAGTCTTTGTGTGTGTTAGTGGTGACATGGGGGAAGCTAGTGAGAGAAAGGACATTTGAGCTCTAATCTGCAAGGTGGGAGAATTTGGACATACATTTGATTGGATGCCCTTCTGGGGTGCTACCCAAAGAGGAACTCAGTAAGCAGTGGATTGACCTGACTAATTATCCAAGGAGAAGATTCATCTATTGAGAAAAATCGTAAGGAAAAGGGTCCGAGTCCAGACTAGGACATTACTCAGAATAAGGATTTAGTTTGAAGATCAAGATTGTCATCAAAATCTTTTCACTGTTGACAAATTTAGCACTTAAAGGCATTTTGGAAATGACTTTTCTAAAGATTTCCTTCAAATATATTTCCTCTCATCCTCCTTTGAGTTCTGCCAGACACCACCTCTGATTTCTTCTCTTATTCCTTCAATCCCTGTGGAGGACCTGCAGAAATCCACAGGAATCTGGGCTTCCAGGCTGAAGGTCCTGGTTGAAATAACACAGAAACCATGACAATGGCTGTGAACAGCCCCGTTTCTAAAAAGTGACCTTCACATGCACTCCCAGAAAGGCTGCCTGCCCTGGTTTTAAATTCAGGCCTGCCAACGTCCTTCCATCTGAGGCACGCTGGCCACAAGAGTGCTTCTGTGTTATCGGGAATTGGAGGTGCACCAAAATAATATCAGACACGCAAGGAAGTGAAGAGATGCTAATCTCATTCCTGCGTCTCCTCGTTCTTTGGCTGAGTAAAACACCCAGCATACTGTTATCTTTGCGATTTTAAATCCACGGCGCTCAAAGGGATTATGCATATGTCAGTGTACACTGGACAGACTGAATTTAAAAAAAAACACATAAGGACAATGTTTGTATTCAAATGTCAAACACCGTATGTGTAGATTTAGTGTCCTTTCTAGGCCATAAATAACATTCCAAGCTGTAATTAATTTATCCATGTTCCTATCAGCACAGCATCATTCCAGGACATAAAGGGGTGGAGAGAGGCAGAGCGAGGTAAACCAACACTGTTATTTCTTTGGGAAAAGTTCTCTTAATTAGATCTGTGCTCTTTCCATAACAAGGTGAAGGTTGTGGTTATTTGTCAAAGGCAAGGGCAGCTGTCATGTCTGAATCAGAGGGTCCATATCCAGCCATAGTCTTCTTTGAATGACTCAAGGGTGGCAAAAATTAGTGCAGCTGCCCCCAAGACCTAGGCAGAGGCAGCTTAAATGACTATTTTGATGGACAATCTTGCTGTCCACCCATCAGACAATAAGCAGTGGCAATTTTTGAGCATCATACACAGTAAAGACCAATAGAATTGATGCTAGAGTGGAATTTGTTTTATGGGAGAGTTCTTGCCTTAAATCAACAGTTCCTAACGTTGCAGCCAAGAATCACACCTCTAGGGTTCACCAGTCTGCCGAATTGTAGGTAAAATGTCGCACCTGTGGCATTAGGCTGAGGCTGGGGAAAAGTGTCACTTTTCCCAGATTCCCAAGAAGAATCCTGAAAAATTCAGAACCACTGCTCTACAAGGAGAAACAGAACACAGACAGCTGAAACAGCCAAAAGGCACTTGCAACACAACACATGAGCAAGGCCAGAACAATTCAATGAGAAAACGAGTTCCCAGGTGTGCAAAGTGAAGGAATGGCCAGAGAAAGGGCTTTGCAGAAACTCTGTCCTGGAATGGAAGGGCCTGGAGCAAATGTAACAAACTGAACCCTTACAGAACCAGGCAGGACATTCCGTAAGTGGGATCTGCTAAGTGTCCTTGTCAGGGAGAATGTGGAGCTTGCATTTTTGTGAGAAGAGGCTGATGTTATCAGCTCCTGCTGTGTGTTGTTCTGCCAAAGATGGGCATGAAGTTTCTAGATCCACTGAGTTTTGTGAGAAAAGTCAAAAATCTAGATATTTCTTACAAGAGCTCTCAATTTTTCTTAATCTGAAAAACTAATTCAAAATCAAAGTGAACAAATGCACGCTATGGCTGGGGCCTCAGAGCTGGCCAGTGTCCCCTAGTCTTAGACCTTTGCTGAAGATCTGGGATTTGAGGACACTCATCAACCTGTAGTTCATAAAGCTGGAAGCAGAGGGCAGACTCCATGGAGAAGGGTCTGAAGCTGGAAAAGGTGGGCGGTGCACAGAGGACAGGGGCAGCGCAGTGGGAAAGGAGGTCGGGGAGCCGGACGGCATGTAGGGCCCCGCCCCATCCCTCAGCAGGATGTGGGTCGTTTCTTTTTAAAACAGGAGCAGCTCTCTAGAGAGTTTTAGGAGAATGCCAGGTGAGTGAAGCATTTGGGAAGGATGCCTCTTGTGTGCAGGACCCCCAGGCAAAGAGGAATCCCAGGGGGAAACTTGAAGCACACCTCCTGTGACCAAGCAAATCAGGTGGGAGATACAGGCCAAGGAAGGAGGACAGAGAAGGGGAGAGCACCGAATGGCCAGCAGAGAAGACACGGACGTGTCCGGCCATCGCTGTGGGACGGTGATGGGACTGGGGTAGCCCTGGGGGAAGCCCGGGCAGCGAGGCGGGGCTCTCTCCTCCCAGTCTGCACCTCCTCACCTGTCACCACGGGCAGGATAGGGATTTCAGTGCCCTTCATCCTTGGCCTTCTGGTGGGAAGGACGTATTGTAATTTCAGCATCTTATGGCTCCCGGATTATGCTCTGCGGCTGCTCAAGAGAGGTCGCTGGCTTTGCAGGCGTTTCTCACTGAGAAGTGAGAATCACCCACGGGGATAGAGAAGCCAAGCTTCCAACAAGGCTCTCTCTTTGTAGTTTTACTTACAATAACTAAAATATAAATGTCTCAAAATAGAAGAGTGGTTTCATTAAGGTACATGTGATAGAATATTCTACATACTGGAATATTATATGCGGTCATTAAGACAACATTTACAACCCCCCTTGTAGCAACGGGGGGGGGTCCCTGTATTATAATAAGTGAAAAAATAGGGCCTTGTGATGCATAAAGCTTTTCTACAGTTCAGATCTCCTCCATAGAATAGATTTTACATGGCGTAAGTCCACATCAAGGCTATGGACGTTTTAGGACTTTCCGAAGTGGCTGCGTGGGTTTAGACTAGCACCCACCGTGCAGGGGGGTGCCAGCTCCGCCTGTGCCATCTGGGCTGAGTCCTAGACCAATGCCACACCCGGTGGATCCCCTCGAGAGCCTTCACTGGTCTCCTTCCCCAAGAGAACACCAAGGCAGAGGCCCCAGGAGAAGCGACTGGCCGAGGAAGACTGTGGGGGCCTCAGAAAATCTCTTCTATCTCTAGGTCAGGACTCTAATTTCTCTGCTCCTGCCTGCAGACCGCAAGCCTGGACCTAATTCCCCAGCGCTTTCACGGGTCTGTCATTTGGGAATTGCTCTCTTGGCCCCCAAGCTGGTGAACAGCTGCTGTCAGATTTGTCTGCAGTTCACTCCTGCCATCGGGCAGTTTGCCCCTGGCTACCCGAAAGGCTGTTCCCACGGCCCCAAGGACTTAGGAACAGGGTTCCCAAATCGCGGGGGGCTCCACAGACTGCCACTGCACACTGGGACCATCACTTGTCTGGTCCACAGCTGTACCCCCAGCTTGGCAGTCAGGAAGTGCTCAATAAATGCTTGCCGAATAGATGCATGGCCGCTTCTAGGGTTCAGGGTGCAGCTAAAAGGAGTCGGCTGGGGTTCTGAGCATCTTTGAAATTATTGCTTGGAGCTGTTTGAAGGGGTGTTTGGCTAATCTCTGGCTGAGGGTGGGGGGGGTCTCCGGGCCTCTGTGGACGCTTGGTCACAGCGGCTTCTTGCCTGCCAACCCCAGACTCCCGCAGGAGGGTGGATCTGGCTGGCTGGCTGGCTGGCGGTTCCAACACGGCCTCTCTGGGGCTCTGCACCTACCCCGCGCGCATTCGCCGCCCGGACGCCGGTGCGGAAGGTCGGTGTGGGCGGGGGCTGGCCCGGGGTGGCCCGGGGGACCGCGGGCTCGGCGGGGACGGGGCGGGGCGCCCTCTGGCTCCGGAGGCCCCGCCCGCCCGCC